GCTAACTGAAATGTCCCATCAAATATTGAAAAATAGAATATCGTGAATACACATTTAGCGTTTTGTATTACTATGTAATGGGAAATAACTATGTTAACTGACTTATAAATTTCAGTGACATACAAAAACTTTAGTTAAAGTATGGTGAACATTACGTTTATGTATAAAATACATGATTATGTAGAGTTTGAACCGTTTATTTTCAATATACAGTATAATGTAAATACATAGTGAAAATGTGTTATAATTGACTATAAATAATCAATAAAGGTTTTCCGCCTTTTCTTTCTATCCATTGATGACATGTTGAGACAATGAGGTCATCATCCTCCGTTTATAGAAACACTGTCTGTATGGGTGTGATGACGTGAGGATACTTGTATTTCCTAACAGTCGAGATTTAGCTATTTCGACATCAATGTCCACACAGAATATGTTATAATGGTTGTTTCGTTCACATTAGAAAGCAAAACAGCAGGTGTCCTATGGAACATTGTCTAAAAGAAGCTATGAACACTTTAGAAATGTATTCGATACTTTCACAAGACTTGTATACGTGAAAAAACTTTGGAGGTGTGTTTGCCTGTGGTTAACTACCTGACCATGCACAAAAACAATTGTACATCATGAATCTTGGTCTGTATTTACATAGGTCGAGATGAGAAAGGATAATATTTTGATCCATTAAGACTGCCTCCACATAAGAAAATCACCAAGAAGAACTGTCGAATGTAAACTACTGCAAGGACCATATTCGTCTGTGTGTGTAGACAATATTTTTGTTGTCGACATGTATCCAAGAAAGTTCAGTCCTCAAATATTTAGGGAAAAAAATGGTAAGTGTTGTTATTCTTTAATAATGATTAATGACATTGATTATGTAGCAAAATCAGTTACTACAAAGTTTATTAACTAGCTGTTAAAATTCAAGTTAGTGAAACATGTGTATACAAAGTTTGCAGCTCATGTGTTTTGAAGTTAGATAAACTGATAGACTTTTAGCGTCTTAAAACTACAAACTTAGCGCTGAGGGCTACGGTTTACGTATTGATTGTCAATACAACAAATGTTGGGTTCATTAAGTTATGAAGAATTTTTGTGCTACTTAGGAATGATATTAAAATCGACAGCTTTTTAGAGAACAAATTAAGTAAAAAACGAATTAACTGAATGTGCAGATGTTCTCGCACATTTCTTTACAACAGAAAACGATGTACGTGGTAAGTCGAAACTAGATATTTTATAATTGTGTATCGATTTTAACATTGTGTGTTATTTAATTATTATTTTAACGTTGAAACTAGTCGGGTAATTAACTGAATAAATCTGTAAATTGGTTTTTAGGTAATTTGTGATTTTTTTGAATTAATTATTTTTAAGAACGTTGTTAATCTTAACATTAGATAATGGGTAAAATCCCATTTAAATCACGGGCGAAAGGTTAAGAACGGTATTGTTCATTTGAGGCAGTATGGGATATGTTTTGAAATGATTCCTCGCAGTTTTAAGTTACATACGAAAGCGTCAAGTACTGGAAAATGGAGGGGGGGGGGTCGTTGAATAATATCTTTTGTGTTTAATCACTTCGCAGGTTTGCACCCATGGCTTTAATATACAAGGGGTTTGCTTCATTACGTAATATTAGCAAACAAGAACGAGTCGGCGTGGGTGAAGCTCCATGAAGTTATCACCGTTTGTTTCTTTGCTTGTTTCGGATATTCGTGCAAAGCTACTGAATGGTTACGAGCGTTAGTTGTTCCAATTTTTTACCGTGTACGTGCACCCACCCACTTACACTATTAAACTAATAACGTACTTGGTTATGGTGATCATATCGTACAAACATACTTATACCCGAGTCATGCCTCTCTGCGCATGCTCAGCACTCTTACCTTGATTTTTTACTTCTTTAAATTCTTCGTTGTAGTCGTTAAGTGTCTCTCGAAGTTGTTTGTTTTCAATTTCCAAGTCCTGAACACGCAGGGCCCTCTGCTGAGCTGACTGACAGAGCTCCAAGACGGGTACAGGGTCTAGGAAAAGACAAAAACAGGTGAAAATTTGATTATTCACTGTTTACAACACTCAAGCACTCACCATAATTACACATATAGATACTAATTAATAATTATTGTTCATTACGTGACAGGCACTCGAACGTTTGAATAACGCAGCAAGTATATTATCGTTTTCTATATAACAAGATAATTTACATCGCTACAGTCTGAGTAGCGTTATAGGGATTTGGTAGATTAAAATACAAGTGAAATGAAGACTTGGTTGTATATGTCAAAATTTCTGAGAAGTTCACTAAAACCTGAATTTGTGGTCAAACTGAGCATTTATTAAAGGATTTTCTTCTCAATTTTTGACTTCCCATTTCTTTGTTTTTCTATACGAATGCAGGTTGTGATTGGATAACGCAGGCCTG